CATTGATGCCTGCACAGTCAGATGGGTGGCAAATTGGGTAGATGGTCGCACCCAGAGAGTGGTGGTGGATGAGTCATTTTCAGCCTGGAGGGATGTGGGCAGTGGAGTCTCCCAGCGCTCGGTCCTGGGGCCTGTACTGTTCAACATCTTTATCAGTGATCTGGATGTGGGTGTGGAATGCACTCTGTCCAAATTCAATGACGACACCAAGTTGTGGGGCAAGGTGGGCATCCTGGAGAGGAGGGACAGAATCCAGCTAGATCTAGACAAATTACAGAGGTGGGCAGATGAGAATAAGATGGAATTTAATGCAGACAAGTGCAAGGTACTGCATCTAGGGAAAAAGAACCAGCAACACACCTATAGGCTAGGGAACACCCTTCTTGTCAACACTGTGGCAGAAAGGGATCTTGGAGTCATTGCTGATGCCAGGATGGATGTGCGCCACCAGTGCGAGGAAGCAGTCAGTAAAGCTAACTGCACCTTGTCGTGCATCTACAGATGCATCACAAGGAGGTCCAGGGAGGTGATTTTTTCCCTCTGTGTGACATTGGTCAGGCCACAGTTGGCATACTGCATCCAGTTCTGGGCGCTGCACTTCAAGAGAAGTGTGGCTATCATTGAGAGGGTCCAGAGGAGGGCCACTCGCACGGTCAAGGGGCAGCAGGGCAGGCCCAATGAAGAGAGGCTGAAGGGCCTGAACCTATTCAGCCTCCACAAGAGCAGGCTGAGAGGGGATCTCATGGCTGTTTACAAGCTCGCCGGGGGGACCAGTGGGAATTGGGGGAGGCTCTGTTCCCCTGGGCACCACTGGGGGTTACTTGGAATAATGGCCACAAATTGTTAGAGAGAAGGTTCAGGCTGGACATCAGGAGACATTACTGTACAGTTAGGGCTGCCAGGCTCTGGAACAGGCTCCCAAGTGGGGTGGTACTCTCTCCTACCTTGGAGGTCTTCAAGAGGAGGCTGGACAGATATTTGGCTGGGGGGATATGACCCCAGCACCTGTTCCTGCCCGGGCAGGGGGTTGGACCTGATGATTTGTTTAGGTCCTTTCTGACCCTAAGTACTATGATACTATGAACAAAATATGAATAAACTACCATTTAAAGGAATAAGCATCAGAACAGTTAGTACTATGAAAAGAAATTATTTTAGAATATTTAATAACCAGCAGCTGAGTAGGAGCTAAGAAAACATGGTTTCTAACTAAATGGATTCCGTATTCAATCAACCCTGGTTAGCTGAAAGTCAACAGTATACAATCTTCAAGCAGGTGATACAGGCTGCACTTTGTTCAACAGCTTTGACTGGAAATTAGGGGTGCATGGATAAAGATTTTGTTGGCCAATACCAATAGCTGATTATTAACCATCCATATCAGCCAATAGAGATCCAATAACCAACATTTAGTAATAAAGCTTGTCAAATAAGCTTTAGTTCAAGCACCCCCTTTCTAAGTGTGGGGATGCTGATACAGGAGACACAGCAGCACTTTACTAATTAAAGCGCAATGCCGCCCACCCCTCCCACACACACTCCTGGAGCACGTGTACAAGTGCTCTGTGCCAGTTGCAGCCCCGGCCCTTCAATCTGAGCTTGGGGGCAGCTGCCTAAGTCTGAGGCTGCCCAGGGCTGGGTGGTCTCTGGGCACTTTAGAGCGGGTTGCAGAGTCGCTTTAATTAAAGCACCACCCCCCACTCCCAAAGGCTTCCTTCCCGCTGGGGAAGGACTCTGCTGCGCACAGCAGGCGGGAGGGGGTAGGGTGGGGTGGGGGAGTAGCTGCCCTGGCCAGGCCCTCCACTCCCACCCCTGAGGCAAAGACCCCCAGGCACCCTGGGTTGAGTCATGCTGGGCTGGGCCAGGCAGCTCAGCTCTGCCCACCCTTGGCCACCCCAGTCACATCTCTGGTATTCGGCACCTTTTACAGTGTTCATCCTGGCCCCAGCCTGCAGTCTGCGACAGCCCCTGGGACACCATGGCAGCTGCTCCACTCCTGCCCAGCCCAGCCTGGCCCACCAGTGAAGAGATAGGAGTGTATCCGGGGTCACCCCGGCTCACAGGAGAGAACTCAGGCATCAGGGGGCTATGGCATAATTAAATAATCAGAAAACATTATTAGCTAAAAAAAGCCAATAACGTTCATTTTCCTTTTAATCGATGCTAATCCGATACACAACCAATATATCAGTGCACCTCTTTTGGAAATAAGGTATTTAACAGTTAAGATTTCCTAAAAAAAGCAATATTGTAAGGTAGATAAATCAGCACATACGAGTCCAACTGTCCAACAACATCCAGAATAGTTCATTTTTCTACTAACGTTACCTTACAAAGATCTCAGCTCACTGAACATCCCAAATGATCAGTAGTGTTCCTCCTGGTTTCTGGAGTTCCTCTTTTGTTAAAAAAGTTATCTACAAACATAAAAGCAATCATTTTGAAAGAATTTCCTATATTATATAAAAAGCACCTTCACTGTGGCAAAAGGCTCAAAGCAAGCAATTCTCAACTAAGAGAGAGAGCGCAACAAGTTGAAGACTAACTTGTGCCCCCTACCCTTCCTGATCTTAGACTAACAAAGTTAACTACCTCTCCTCTAGTCAATGATGACACCACCCAGTTGAATGAAATGGACTGCAATTGATCTACTTTAGAATTAAAGAGTTAGACTTTAAGGTGCCACCCTTACAGCTGTTACTCAATTATACTAGTTCCCAGGTCCATAGCCATATCACAGGATGCAAATGCTTTGCCTGGCATACAATTCCTTTTACACTGCAATAAACCTGCAAGTCAGCACCTTTTGTTCAAAAGAACAGTTCAACACATGTGGCATTCCCTAGAGCAGGGGTGTCAATCATTGGGCCAGCAGGCCACATTTGGCCTATGGAGTCTCCCTATCCTGCCCACCAGACTGCACAGTTGGACCCTTTGGCTCTGTTGGGCATGGCAATCAGTAGTAAGCTTGGCTTGCTGCCACCAGACTCTGGTGTTCCTCCTGCTCCCACCAGACCTACAGCACCCACCCTGCACCACAGTGGCTACTGAGGCAGCCCTCCTGCCCCAGGTTGGATCCAACCCGCAAAGAGCCCTGCAGTCCAGATCCAGCCCAGTGCCCCATTGTGAACATATACCCCTGCCCTATACTAAACTCATCAAGTCTTTTAAAATAATCCCAGTAGATACACTGGTATAAAAACTGGTTAAAGCAAAGCTACCGATGAGGGTACTTCTACTACCAGTCTCAGGACTGAGCTCCATGCTAAACAGGAAAACAATCAGGAAGCCAACAGTCAACCAGAAATATTGAAAATCACCAAATATTTAACACAAGCCACATTCTGATTTTTAAGAGTTCTGCTTAAATTGTTTGTTTTTTAAACAGACTAAATTTAATGTAAAGCATTTAACCTTTAAACTGAATATCTAATTTCTTCTGTGAATGTAAAGCTTTTTAAGTACTACTGTACTTCTTTAGAGAATAATAAAATTTGGGGGTACAGAAATTAATGCTGAACAAGCTTTCTCTCTTACCACCTTTTAACTCTAATACAGAACCTTTTATACTCCACCAGGGCTAAGTATTGTGACCCATTGAGCTGGGAAGCTTCAGGGCTAGTCTATTCAGGAAAACTGACCACAGAATAACCATAGGAGAGTATACCATAATAAGAGCAATTAATGCAAATTAACTACTTGAGAACAGCAGCCACACAAGGGAGGTACACCAACACAACTAAAGCTGAATAATTCTCTTGAGATGGCTGTAGCAGTTTCCCCTTTGTAAACAGAAAGATCCTTTTCTGAGCTCACTAGCCACCAGCTTCAAACAAGTCCACATACCAGAAAGCCTAGATGGCAAGACATACCAAGTGAGGATATCAGCCTGCCCCCACTTAGTTCTCTAACCAGCTCGGCCAGCTGCTAGGAAGACAGAAAATGAAGATCCCAATTTCCCCAGAAACATTGAAGCAAAATCAATATTCTCAGTATAGGGAGACGGGAAAGGAGGATGAACGATTTCACAGGGTGAGAAGCAGGCAAGAACCAGTAATGATAGAAGCCAGCTACTTAATCTAAGGGTGGGGCCTTTAAAAAAAAAATAAAGATAACAATAACTTAGTTACCACGGCTGGACTGCCAGACACACAACCTTCCCTTCACACGTGCATCCACCTTGCAGAAAGCATGATTTCCCGCAGATTCACCCCCAGCAAGTACCATATACATGGAAACAGAGATTAGTTTCCATTGTGAATGTCATCTGTACAAAGGCACGCTACTGCTGAGCTAGGCCTGCACAGACCAGCCACCACCCAAACAATAGCAGCAAAAGTGTGAATTCTGCCCCAGCCCGTAGGAGCTGGGGGAGGGAGGTGCTGCTTCAGAGCCCACTTTGGACTGAGCTGGCCGCCCGCGGGTGAGGCACAGAGCTGTCAGAGCAGGGCACACAGGGCGAGGCTCCACACCCCTTTCTCACTTCAGCAGGAGCCTCTCTCCCCTCCCCTGATCTCAGCTGGAGGACAACAGAGGCTCCCCACCACCCGCTCGGCCTACAACGCGAGTCAGGGAAGGCACCCGGTGCCACGCAGAGGCCTACCGCGGCCCCCAGGCCCCGCCGGGATCCAGCCCCCTTTAGCGGCCCAGCCGCGGCCTGCCCCCGCGGCTGGGGGGGAGGTACCGGGTGGGCGTGCGTTCAGCGCCGCCTCCGGGGTCCGCAAGCGCCGCCTCGAGCGCCCGGAACCACCGAGGAGGAAGGCGACAGCGGCGGCCGCAAGGCCCGCCCGGCAGAGCTGGGGAGGTGAGGGGAGGGGATGTGCGGCCCTGTCCGCTCCCGGCGGCGTGAAGGGGGAAGGATCCGCCCCCCTGCCCCGCGCCGCGCCCGCGTGACGGAGAATTAAAACCCGGAGGCATTTTCCTAGCGGCCCCTCGCCGCCGGGCCGGGCCATAAGAGCCGGCTGGGGGGGGGTGCGCGGCGCGTGGGGCTCGGCGCTCACCTCCACGTCGCGACCCTTGTTCTTGAAGCTCTTGATGCGGTGGTTCTCAAGGCCCGCG